AAAGAAACATTAGCCGTAACCTCATGGGAATAAATATTATTTTGAAATGAATTGCAATTTAAATTTCATTTCAATTAAAATTCAATTTAACTGCTGACAATTTTGTGGTAATTCAGAAATCAGAGAAAGCCACTCGAAACGTATATATGCACCGACCGACAGATTTTGAAGCTATCGTCTGCGTAGACAACATTTGTTAAAAGCGTAAAATACTCATCGACAATTATTTTGTTAAATTATAAATGTGTGTATGCGTATGCGTATGCGTATGTGCGTGCCTACGGGTTACTAAAATAGCTATCAAATATGCTTTAGTTCGTCTAGAGCGACATGATTGCTGCTGATATTGCAGGCAATGCATGTTGCACCAACACGCATTTTAATTTATTAGTTTGTGTCTGTAGAGAGAAGTTTTTTCCTTTCTTTTTCATACCCAAAGATGGCGGGTATATTCATTTTGTCAAAACGTTTGCAACGACCAGAAGGAAACATCAGAGATACCACAAAATGCATATGTTTTTAATCAGCATCAAATTTTAATCAACTTCAGCTTCTCTGTCCGTCCGTCCGTTTCTAATCATTTTTCTAGCCGCAAAAATTAAGCTAACGACTTTCAATTTGGCAAAATCATTGGCAGTTCTTGTACGCAGGTTGTTATTGAAATTGGGCTAAATAGGTCGCGTCCACAATGCCACGTAAACTGAGACCCTCTCCGTTTTTCAAATGAAATGAAAAATTGATATTTGATTTATTACTCGTAAACTCTAGCGGATAAATGTACAATGCAATTGAATGCATGTCCTATGGGCGGACCTGTAGTACTTGCACAAAAATGGGAAAAATTGACCAGGCCTATCCTATATTATAGTGTATCAAAATTTAATTTTTTTTCAATTCCTTTGAAAGGGGCAAGATTCTTAGCTAGTTTTGAATTTCAAAAGCACCTGAACATATCCATTTGTTCCCTCTCCATCTGTCTGTCTATCCAGCTGTGTGGTATTGATGGTAAACATCCTCCCCTTAACGAAAATGAATATGTCGCCTACAAATTTGCAAAAGAATTTGAGAGGGAGCTAAACTTTTTGCAGGACGCGACTATAAAAATCATACGCCTGTGCGACAACAACTTTTGTTTTGAAAACAGCAAAAATCAGCTGCGCCCACTCCGTATTATGGAGCATGAAAATATAGTTCTTTTCTTGTTTTTATCTTACTTAGAATAACGGCGAAGGGGATAAAAGATTCGGTCATGATCGAATATAATTGTCTTGCTTGCTTTCAATTTACAACCGATTGCATTAGAATAGAATTCTAACCCCAAACATCGTAGACATAGATATTATAGAATCGATATATATATACATATATATACATGCGTACACATACGTTTATGTTTAATTGTATTTATTTATTGTTGTTTCATATATGCATACGTTTGTATTTGGCTATTGCTGCTGCTAATGTAGCCAACCGGAAATGCGTTCCAAAGGCGTGTATAATGTTTTAATTAATTACAACTACAAATTTGCACCTGTTTGTGTTTGATATCATTGTTTCTATGTCTGCCCGTGTGGAGGCACAATAATTTTAATATTTGGCATATAACGCACATAAAAAGTGATATGCAACGGGCATCCCCAATGAATATCTCGCCTAAATGTATATATAATTTTTAAAAAACAAGAAAAAAGACAACACCTTTTTTTTTAATTTTTTTCCCCCTAAAAAAAATTTTAAAAAAAAAAAAAAAAAAAAAAAAAAAACAAATCGTAGCATATAAATATATTGAAAAATTGTCAAAAATTGAAATTAATGCAATAAATAGTGCGGATGGGTTCGTTTTCCATTCATACTGAGCATTCATTATATTATTCTTTTTATATAAAACAATTTTTATTTGACTAATCTCTCATAGCAATTCCCTTGCTGGTGTATGCGTGTGAATATGCCGCCTTCTTTTATGGATCTTCAACGCAGTTAGTTGTCGTTAGCTAACCATCCTGCAGATGGTAAACGCAGTCATCACATGCATGTAACAGAAAGAGATAAGTGTCATGCCTTCATTCTCACTAGCAAGGACTAAATATGCTCTAACGCAATGGGATTTGATTCCGCGAACACTGACTTGTTGGCAATCGCGATTCTTATCGATTACTTACGCGGATCGCGTGGTACATAGTTTTCTATATAGTTTCAGAAATGGTCCGATCTCTGTATAAAGACTCGTACGAAGCCTATGCTGTTAAGTGGCATTGACATATTCGCAAGTTGGACAAATTGTTGCTTGCTGCTCTACTTTTATCGATTCCTTTCTCTTTGTGCAACGAAACTCAGTCAATTAATTTGTAAATATTTTTCTAATAATCTTTTATAGATAGAGTTTAAAATAATTTTGCTTGTGTGTGCGCATGCGTGTGTGTGTGCGCATTTACGATCATGTTATATGTAGCTTGGAAACATCAGCACACAGTAGACAGTACACGCATACACATATTACACCGACACGACATTTCACGTTTATCAAAACATTTACTGACTTGGAGCGGGAAATGGTTTTTGCCCCGCCTAAGTGAATTGTTATATTGAATCAAAGGGAAACCAACGCAACAACCCGTTGAGTTTAATCTGACAAATTTTTGAAGTAAGTATTTTAAAAAGTTTATCTCTTTCGATATATAATCCTTTTGTTATTTTTCTTCCTAACGAGGAATAAAAGCGTAAAAAAAAAAAAAAAAAAAATTAATGTCTTCTTGTACCCATCAGTTTAACGAGTTCTAGTTTATAAATTCTAAGGTATAAATTGGAATTGATACATCTCTTCTTCTTCTACCCTTTCTTTGTGCTCTTTAGCTTTATTTCTACTGTTACTACTAAAGCAGGTTAACTTAATGTTACTATGTTTGTTACTTTTGTTATATAGTAGTACGCACTACTACTAGCTATAAAAGCTGATTCTATTACTATCGCAAGCATTTTAAGTGTGTTTATTTTAGTGTACTAAGACGATATCAAACATGTCTTAAATTGTCTTAGAATTGTAAGCAAAAGCACAGAAAACTCTTTAAAACTAAATTAAGTTGTGAGCAACAATGCCTCATCCTTAACAGTTTACAGCCGGTAGTCTAGTAACAGCTTCTTTTTTCCTAACCGACCTAACCTTACTTAACTTTAAATCCAAATAAAGCTATAGGTAGCAGTTTCTGCATAAGGAAAGCACAGACAAACAAAGACGGCGTTAGAGAGAGAGAGAGAGAGAGAGAGTGTGTGCGGGCGAACGGCGGCCAGTCAGTAAGGTTTTAAGGAAAACACTTGAAATTTTCGCTTAAGGCCACACACACTTTTGAATTGAATTTATGACATGTATGACGTGCAAGAGAAGATTCATTCATTGAAACCTTTTAAAGTCTTTTGACTTTTTTTTTAATTTTAATCGCGAATAGCACAAGCGGTAAAAATAATTTAAATTTTGTTTTTGCCAAAATAAATAACCTATTTTTTGAATGGTTTAACATGACCGAGAATTAGATAATTGGGCGTAACATGTAATGCATCAACAGCACATTAACAGAATCTATTCGCACGATGACCTAATGCGATAGGAAGGACTTTTGTTGAATTGTCGCTACTTTTCAAGCACAAATTCTTGCTTCAAATGAATTGAAACTAAACAAGTGGAACCATCTTGACATTGATTTCATACATATTATAAAAGTGATATTAAAAAAAAAAAAAAAAAAAAAAGGAAAATGTTATCGCAGGAAAGATAGAAATGTAGAATGTTTTTAAAAGAAAAATTCTTAAATACGTTAACTGCATGCGTGCATTATAAACACAATCGCTTGAAAGTGCAAAAAGAAAGAGGTAAAGTAAACAATCTTAGCATTTAAAAAACACTATGTTGCAATTAGTAAAGTCACGCTATGTACCTGAAGATTCTTACACAAAATCATCCCCAATTAATATTTTAATGGTATGGTTTGGATACGTTCAAGGTTTATGCAAACAGAAACATGCCCCTTTGGTTGTTATTATTCAAAGCAGCTTTTCTTTGTTTTTTATTATTAACACAGCAACAACAATTTTGTTAATGTACGTATGTAAAGTGCATTAAACTACCAATCAAGAGATATATAAAAAAGTTATTAAACTTATGCTAACCAGATTCCAATTGTTTCTTAGCAATCAAAATCTTTATTAATAAAAACTTCAACGGGTTAATTAAGAAATTAACCTCATTGCCTGAAGTTGCAAAGAAATGTAAGTTCAAAGTAAAAAAGAGAATTATATTCCATTGATTTTCATAAACAGTTTTGCACGACTTGAAACTAGAATTTATTTTTTATAATCTGATCTTTGAATTTGTTGGGGAAATGAAGAAAGCTTTCGATTCAATCTACTCTATTGAGGAAAACGTCAATTACAGCCCAAGATTTTTCATTCGACAAGGGGGAGTGTAGAGAAGTGACTACATTTATGGACAATTGCCTTTTCCAGATCAAAATCCTCAGTGGGATTAGTTAGGAAGTTGTCTTCATTGCCCGAAGATTGCAATTCATCAGCAGCTGTGATGACACGATCCACTTGGCGCGAATAATGAGGCTCTAGTTTTAATACCTTTTACCCTTTTACGAAACACGTCAAGAAATGCTGCAGTAATTTTGTCCAAAAATGTCTATCACATATAGGTGACGCCGGGCTGCATCCCATATATACATATATATAAGTCAATGCTTTGAGATTTAAAAGTTTTCTATGGAAAAGATAAGAGTATAGAAGTAATACAGCAGATGGACAGATACGATTCACGGTCATAAAGAATTTGCCTACAGTCCATGCCGTTCCTATCGTTTATATACTGAATTTTTTTCACCGGGTTTCACAATTCATCAATGTATCAATCAATTCCTCTATTCACATGAATTAAATCGAAATTATTGCAACTTTAAGCCAACATAACTGTTGTCAGCCATTTATTTGTAGGTAAATGAAAGATCACTTACCTCTGTAATTTTCATGGTACGTTTGACTACTTTTCGAGTAACTTGAGTGACTTCTTCCACTTCGTCACCGTTCTCGTCGATAGTATCCTGAACAATTTCTTTGATAGGGATTTCTTCCATGGTTTCATCCAAAATCTCGGTCTTTTGAACCGAGTTTCTACGTTGGCCAGACATGTCTTCTTGAGCAGTCGACATTTTCAAAAAGCTTTTAAATGATTATCTTTTTAATCCAATATTTGAATAGTTTGCATATAAGTGTAGAATTTTTGTAAATTTTTTTCAAAATCTTAGCGACTCGTGTTTTAACAATTCTTTCTTCTTTCTTTTCTTTTTTGTTTTTTTTTTTTTCTTTGTTATATAGCAACTATATATTTTTTATTTTTCTATTGTGTGAAATTTTTATTTTGCTCTATTAATTTCAGTTATTTGAATAACAAAACAATTGTACACTTTTTAATAGAATAAAAAAAATTAAAAAAATTATAAAACAATGATGAATAAAAAAAACCAAGAAAATTTAATTTGTTATGATTATTATTATTATTATTATTTAGTTAACGAGCACATCAACCGTAATTTTCTAAGTCCCACACTTTTGTTGTCAGAGTTGAAGAATAATATATTAAAAGGATAATTAAAAATATTCAATAGAAATATTCATTCATATTTTGAAAAAGGACATCGCATTAAATCCCTGTAGGCGTGTTGCAGTATGTGGACGTAAATACCGTTACGATGTTCAAAATATATAAAAAAGTGCTCATTGACGAGAATATTGTAAATAAATGAAATCAAATATGATAATGAATATATATGTACATATATATATATATATATATATATATATATATATATACACATATATATGCATACATATACAAATATTTTTATTTAAAAATTTCAACACAGTTTGAAGTCAAATTTACTTTGATTGTTTTCTTATTTTTTCTTTTAATTTTTTACTTTAGTTTTATTTTATTTTTAATTAATCCACAATTTGTTTAGCTCTTAATTTTAATTGAAATTTTCTGATTTCGTTGAACTAAATTTTTGGTAGTTTTTTTTTTTTTTTGTTTTTCTTGTTTACTTGTTTTAATGAATTTTTTTTTTTAATTAATTATTAATATTTAAATTTTAATTTCAAGTCAATTTGTTGTCTGTCTTAACAAGTAAGAGATGATGATGACTACAAACGCGGCTGTTGTTCGGACAACAAGTATTACACACAGCAACGTTATGTACGTACAGTGGCGAATGCACTAACGATGCTTGGATAATTGAACACATACGCAAATACATGTACACTGGGAAAAAAACGCAAACAAATAAGAAAATGAGTCGGAATATCAACCAAAAATAAAAAATGAAAAACAAAATATAAAAAAACAAATAAAAAAATAGAAGAATATTCAAATATAAATTTACATATATTTTTTTCTGATTTTCTTTTTTTTTTTTATTATTATTTATTTATTTTCTTTTCTTTCATTTTTTATTATTTTTTTTTGTCAGCGCACACACGAAACATTTAACAAACGAGAAATGTTTATATTTTATACATTTGTTGTCTCTTGTCATACAACATTCACAAAATTATATTATTATACAACTGCCGTTCCATTATACGTAGTAGAGCAGTGAGAGCACGAGAAAAAGAATTAAAAAAAAAAAAGAAAAAAATTAAAATTTTCATTAGTAATCCTGACGATGAATGACGTTGAGTTATATTTTGTTCATGTACGAAATCGTGTACAAGAAAATGCACATACATACATGCATACACGCACACACACACGCACGCACATTTATGTACCAAACGAAAGATAGAGTAAATGTTTTATATTGAATTTTATGCGAACGGTCAACATTCATCGCCATGCAACACATACATATTTATTTATACATAAATAATGCAAATGCTTTCAGTATTAACTCAATGTGGACAATTGTGCTGACGATATGCCGAACGTATAACAATGCGTTTAAGCAATTTGTAGAAAATGTTTTTTTATAGCAAAACTAGAAACCAGAAAAGTTCCTCAAAGCACACAATCTGCTTATGGGTATGCTTTTATAAATGCAGCATCTAATATTAAAACGATCGATGACTGTATTCTTCGGTTCTTTAATAGATATGGGTGCCGAATAACAACAACAACAACAACAAAGAAACTAGCAATATACATATATAAACAGTTTAGATCGAATTTTCTAATATCTACTACTACTACTACTACTACTACTAGTACTACTATTAACAATAATGTAAACATCGCGCAAATGCAAGTGTCCTAAGATATAAGTGAGAGTATCACTCAGGCGCAAGATAGATTGTATGTATGTATCTGAAAAATAATAATAAAAAAAAGGGGTCCATACCGTAATATCGTAATCGAAAAACTATCCCTTCAATGGTATTAAGTTTGAAAGTTTTCCCCGGGGTGATCCAAGAAAGATGTGAGATAAAGTTTGATTCACTTGGCCGAATAATGAGAATAACATGTGTTTCTGATGGACAGATTGACAACCATTTTGGCAACGGTATCGAAAATGGGGCTGATCATAATGAATTCCTTATATATAGAATGATCATAAGCCTTTATCGTTTAATATAAGAGCCCAAAAGTTTTTTTTTCGTCGAATTACAAACAAATTCGAAAAACCTACTTGACTATCTACCGTAGACATAATGAGAGAATAAATTCTATATTGCACAAGCTAAATATTGGAACTAAAATTGTTTATGAAAAGAGCTTTTATGTACGCTGACGACAAAAACCAAACGAGAAACAGAATAGAATCCCCAAAAAATACATTTGTAGCTCTCTTGGCTTGTAAGGGAAACTCGAAAAATTTTCCTATCAGCAATATAATGGTTGTTTATATTATAAATTAAAGATTTTTATGCGTAAATAAAAATTAAATAGAAATTTTATTATTCCCATCAACGCTGAGATATTACTGTTTCTTAACATGGAAAATAAGCGCGCAGTACGGGTCTAAGTAAATGAATATAAACACTCGTGGATTTGGTATTGAAAAATGATTCTTCATGCAGATGTATGAACAAAGTCCTGAGAGATAGATAGATAGATAACAAGTCCTAAATCCCGCTGGGAAGTTGCTCGCTTATGAGAAGAGACGAAGTTTTACAATTTTTCTATGGAATATTTCTTGGAAAAGTAGTCAATGCAAGCTAAATCTTATTTACAAATCCAAGCCATGCATTGATATCAATATCTGAATATAATTGTAGCTAAACATGTTTTATGCTGTCCAAGGGGCTGTTGGAGACGTGTACCGATAACGGTACACGTATTGCTGTTATTAGCCATTAGCAAGACATTCAGTTGTGAGTCAACTCTTTGTTGCCCCTCTTTGAACTATAAGAAGATAAATGTTGGAAGATACTACACTGACACTGATGCTACACTTGCCATGCTTATGACGTATCCGAAACCGATGTGCTAAGCGATAAGGTCCAATCGACATACAATGATGTAACTCTTAATTTCTACTACGCTGTTGTAAAAGGAAAAGCAAAATCACTGTCCGAGTGAAGAAGACACACTTGCGATGAAATTAGATTTCACAAAGCATCTTTCTTTTTTTTTGTATTTTGTCATTTGTATGTTTATAATTATGAAAAACATTTGATTTCTGTCTTAAATTAATGCAAAAGATATTTACTATTAAAATTATTAAATTTGCATTTCGGTGACGCGGAAATGAGCTCTACTTGCATAAAGCTTGGTAAAGAAAGCTTGTTAAGGGAAATATTTCGCAATTCACAATATTTTTTTATTTATTTACCATAATAGTTTTGAATGTTGTATGATATTGGGATGATCGGAAAGTCATGTCGTTATTATTATAATTTTTTTTTTTTTTTTGTTTCTGTTCAAAATAGCGGACTGTTTTCTTACAGTGTGTAAATACCTCATGATCAGTAATCGATTTGGATTAGTCAATCTCTCAGCAATATCACAAGCTATTATTCGGCGGCTTGCATCAACTAATGTTCTTACTCCAAGTGACGTTCCAGAGAATGGTGCATCTTCAATATCACGAAACGACGGCAAATTGTGCACATCAGTTTTGACATTGGCCTTTTGATGATGTGGATACATCCTCTTCTCCATACACATCGAATCATTTTGTGCTTTCTGCAACCGAAGAGTGAAAATGCAGATGAGAATCTTGCTTTTGGCAAATAACAACTATCGAGCAGACAAGAATCGAGCAAAGTTTTCCAATTGCCAAGATATGACAATGACCATGCAGTTTAACTGTTGTCTGAGGAGTTGCCCGTAAAAAAAAAAAAATTGAACGAAATAACTTTCCGAACAACCTAATAAGTATAAGTGCAAGTCCATCTGTTTTAAAAAACATAATTAAAATCAACATGAATCGCAGCGCTATCGAAAATTATTTTACAATCATTAACCAGTTAACTGTGTCGAGCTCTTTAGCGCTGCACTCGTACTACAGAGCAAACACCGAGCATATGTAATATGAAATTAGATTGGCGTGCAACGACTTGATAAAATGATAAAAATAATACATTGTTATAGCACGTACGCATTCATTATTCAGATTTTATGAGAAAATCTAACAAGAACGAATAGACGGATCTGTTCGTCATACACACGTGACTGATTAAAAATGCGTTGTAAGATCTTACATTAGATACCGATTTGTTTCGAAGAGTGTAGATGAGTCCTAAATTCGAATATTATATGTATTAGGTTATATTGAGAAGTCTCCGCGTTGTCGAGCTTGTTTTTAAATTATTTCGTACTGTCATGTGGTCATAATTATGTATATTTCTTCATTCGTGATCTTATTTTGTTTCATTCCAAACTACTTAAACAATTTGATTAACAGCGACTTGAACATTTACATATAATTTATTAGTTAATAATGCGTGCGAGTACAAAGAAAAGATTTCTTAATGGAAATTGATTGCTTCCTTTAGAACACAATTGAAACAACAAAGGACAAGAACACTGCACGCTCAACAATTGAATTTTTCCTTTCTTATACCATTTTTGAGAATACGTTCATCGTTCGTACAATATATGAAAGAAAATGTTTGAGTTTTCCTCATTGTTCAGTAGTTGTTGCTCAACTATCAGTTGCGATATATGATATTATGTGCATTATAGATATCTTGACTTATTTTAATGAATTCATATTTGAGTGCCTTTGATGGGAAATAAATCCACATTAGTTGTTCGTAAAAGGTAAGAGGGGTTTGACAGTCACTTTATCGAAAAACAATTCAGAATTGCTTGCGCTGTAATGCGAATTCACAATAAGTAATGTATAATTACGCAAGTGTTTGCATGTGCATGTGGTGGTTAAGAAATTGTTCAAGATTTCAATTCGATAATAAAAGTCTGGGTATGGGTCAAAATAAATTCGACGCGTTTAACTTTTTCTTTTCGGAAATGTCTTTTAACGACCTTTTAATATTTTTTACATTCTCTATTATTGTATGCAATGAGAATAGATGCCTAAATACGAATCGTTTATTGAGAATATCTGGATAAATATAGATTTGAAAGAATCTTTAAAATAAAACTGAAATGAAACAAAAATAGACACACCCAAATGAACTCTTTATTATTTACAGTTGCGTACATGAATACACGTACACACATATGCATATATGTAAACATAACACAAGCACGCGCGCGCGCACACACATGCATATATCTACAGATTCATTGAAAAGTTTTTGTAAGATGCATTAGTCTAGTGTTTCAGAAATGGCGTAAAAAAGTTAACAAAACATATTGAATAGATTTTTTGTTTTTGCCTTTCTTAATTGGATCTATGGATATGCGTATGTGCATTAAAATCACGTCAGCCGAGCAAAAACGCATAGCGAATGAACGGGATTGATTCACACGCGAATCCGCTATAAAAATGTTGACCTTAAAGGACAAAAATTATGTTCTTGCGTCATAGGCATTGTTACAGTCGGTCGGTGAGTGTGAAGTCAATATTTCGTATATAGCTTTCCCGCGAATCAATACAAATCGAATATAGGCTCAACTTTTGGTAAAATATTCGAGAGAATGCTTATGGATTAAATATGTAAACATTTGTTTTGCGAAAAGAAAAAAAAGAACAAAAAGAAAACCTGCATAATAATAATAATAATAATAATGATGTAGCAAAAGAAAAGTTAACAAAAGTAAATTAAAATTTATAAACATTTCGCATTTCGCGTTTAAAAGCATTTACTCAAGGAATTCTATTTTTGTAAATTATTTAGATTTAATAGCGTACACGTCTGCCTATTCAATAAAGAGAGAAGAACAAAGAGGCTGCTCCGAGTGAGAAGCATTCCGCGTTTATGATGCAACTTTATTAGAAGCAAGCTCTAAATTTCAATAAACTCATTGCAATTCAATAACAGACAATTTTTTATTATAAAGCTTCAGCAGATGCCAGACTTGTAGTCAACAAATCGATCTCATTGATTATTGGTAATGCTTTTCAAATTTGAAAAGACCGATTGATGCAGACAATGTGATGCAGACATGATTAACGAAATGATTTACGTCAATAATTGTTCGTGAAAGATGCATAAATTTCAATACAAGTGATCATGTACACGCGCCCGACCCGATCTCTTAATCTTTTTTTATAATGCTACTCATATGCCAGAATTCGAAGATAGATTGTTTACTTCTCCTTTCAATTTGTCAGAATTCGTAGATAGATTGAATTAAATTTTAATATGACATTGCAATGCAACAAGTGTTGTCAGCAACAAATGTTATCAAAAGCTTTTTCGACTAAAAGCTTTTCTTTCATTTAAAAACTTTGTATACAACAAGACATTGCATGCATTACTAAATCGACAATGGAAAGTTTATTTTCTTACTTAGAGCTTTTCAAGTTTTTTAGTAAACGGCCCGCTTGGAAATTTAATTTCTTGTAAGAAATGTATGGCATAATAGAAAAAAAGCTTTATAAACATATGGAATGCTTTAGAATTAATCATTTACCTCAGTCGACCTCTTTAGCGATATACTCGCAAACTCGTCAAACACAGAGTTTTGTGTAATAGGAAATTAGGTTATAACGAAACGACGACTCGATTAAATGACAAAAATATTTTCTAAAGTACATTATAATAGATTTCATGGGGAAATCCGGCAAGGACGGATGGACGGATCATGATATATCTGTTCGTCATACACAGCTAATTGGTTGATAATCAAAAGATTAATCTTGCTTTTATCCCGATAATTTTACTTCCCATTAATACCTATTGAAATACTTGACCTGTTTTTTTTAGTCCAAAAGCCGTGTGTATTGTTGCTTGACTCCATGACAATATGATGGGATATATCTGAAAAGTGCGGTTGAATAAAATGACACTGAATTTGGCAATAGACTTAGAAGCGGACGGACAAGCAGCTTATATTGGTCTAGCATCATCACATATGAAATTGTTTTTTGATCAAAAATCAAGTCCACGCAACGATAAGAAGACGATTTTAACTTAACTGCACTTTCTAGTGGGAAATCAAAAGTCGATCTCGACATCGTATTGAGATCTCTTATATCCATCCGTTCCTTAAAATATTGCCGTCACTGTTAAAGCTAAAGAGTACTGTAGAAAAGCTTGGAAATTAAGATGCGCATGCTGCATATGCCGGTGTGTATTCTTCTGAGAAAAAGTTTTTCGCTATAACAGAAAACTGGAATTGAAACCTACGTAAAAAAAAGAAAAAAAATCCCAAAAAAAGAAGCTTCGAACAGTAGCATACTTAATCAGGCTGTTATCTAATAGCGAGATAGAGTGAGAACAGGACAGAGAGAGAGAGAGAGAGAAATATGGACAAATTAATATTAAAAAGTAAAGCCAAAAGATGGACAGCTTTATCTTCAGATTAAAGTGGAAAAGATAGATAAACAATTTGAAATTGTGGAGTACATTTTGGAGATTGAGAGCGAAAAGAGAGAGGGAGAGAGAGAGAGAAAAACAGAGAGAGCGCGCGATATGAATAAAATGATGAATGATTCCAGTTTGCAAGTGTTGCTCCTGCAAGTCATACTTAAATTAAACATTACGAAACTGTTAGAAGGTAGTGTTGCTTTGTAGAGGTAATCTATCTATAAGTTCGTCAGAGTCCGAATATATTTTGTGTGTATACGGCCGTGAGAAGCAGAGAGATACATTTCAAATTACAAATAAATATAACAATAATTTCTATTAGACGCTAAAAGAGTTAAAACAAAACAACGGGTATACAAGTGGCAGTTAGTAAATTGATCCCAGTAGCGCAACAACAAAACAAGCACGCGCTTAAAAGCCATTTGTGTTTTCGTTGTGATTTCAGAAAAATTATTAATAATAACAATTGTAAATATTTGCAAACAAAAATTTAAAAAAAATTTTTTTTGAAAAAATATATATAAATATAAATAGATTCCCTTAGGGGCAAATATTTCAAATAACTAAAAACTATCGAATTTTTATTCAAATTTTAAAAAAATTACTTTTATAAAAATTTAAAAATTTAAACTAATCAAATGTGTGTCTATGTGTGTATGTGCATTCGTGTGCGTGTGTGTGTGTGTGTGTTTGTGTGTGTGTATGTGTGCTAATTGATATGAACAATTGACCTAAGCCAGAAAAAAATAAGTATATATATATATATATACATGATATATGAGAATAAAAGTTTTTTCGTGTTTTAAAACGAAATCAAAATCAAATTTAATTATAAGTATATTTTATATTTTTCTTAAAAACCTGATTTTTCTTTTTCTTAATATTTTTTTTTTGTTTTTTTTTTTTTAATTTATTCCAACCACATCAGCGTTGTTGTTACTGTGATAACCATTTGTTTATGAATAATGCTCGAAATTGTTTTTATTACAATATTTCGGACTTAATTTTGTTTTTTTTTTTTTTTTTCTAAAAGCGAAGGTCATAGTTTTCACATTCGATATATGAACGTGTACTTATTTGTTATTATTTCTTTTATTTATTGCGAACATTATTAAATCAAAGAGTGTTAAATGCTTCGGCGTTGTCAGTATGAATGTATATTTATTTAATAAAATATTTACAAATACAAGATTCTTTTGATTCAAGCTACAAACTACAAAGATAATTCTTCTCAAAATAAAAAAAAAAAAAAATTATATATATATATATATGTATATATATATGTGTGAGAAAACAGAAAAAGCATAGTTATGTTACATATAATCTACAAGCTATTTCGCGGACAATTCTCAATATTTAGATAGACTCATTAATAATCACAAGAAGGAATTTCGATAGTGATATTTTTCATTAGCTAGACATTGGACAAAGGAATGACATTAGATGGCAATGGTTTAGGTTAAATTTCATTTTAACATTACTTCGTATTGATTTATTGTACCCTTTAATAGGCAAAAGTTTAAGTTTAATAAGAAAAAAAAAAGACTATATATATTTGCATTAATATTTATTGCCGTTAATTGTTTAATAAAATTTTTCATTTTCAACGCTTTTTCATTTTCTACTATTGTGTACTTTCTATTGAGCGATCGTTATAGTCGTTAATATTGTGAAAATTCTCATAATGAGTGCTGTCGATTCGATCATCAACTATAAGCGCAATCCCGACGAGGATTTCTATGCTATGCTCAATTGTGATGAAAGTTCAACGGTGAGTATAAAAATTAATCTTACATTTTCATATATATATCGAAACTGTAACGTGTGTAGGTATTATAGAACTTATTTTAATGATTTCAATCCAGACAATGGGTTCGAATAACTTTCTACTAACCTTTCTCTTCAAAAGGCTCATTACCTTTCATTCATACAACTCCTGTCCAAGTCATCTCTGGGATTGCATTTAGTGATATGAAGCTTTTCATTACGCAAAATCCGGAAAAAGTGGTTGTCTGAAGTCGTAGTCTGCGTTAAATCAAATAAACCGCCTACTCGAGTAGTTTTATTCGCGAAACGTATCAATACTATCTGTATATACTAACTATATATTTATATATATATCAGTTTCTGTCAAAGGAGGTCAAATGAGTTTGTGTCTAAATATGACAAAAGAAAAATCCGATATGCAAATATTTTCACTGATTTTGATGCGATTCATAAGTGATGTGGACTCCTTATAGATATGAATTAAATAATAGTAAGAAAAACTGGAAGGTGCAAAAGGGATTAGATTTTGCTTAAAATAAGCGCTCAGTCTTGGGGATACCAAGATCTGTTTGCTGGTTACTCGATTCCTTTTTGAGGTAATGGCGAAGGAAGAGCCATATCCGAATTAGGTACCGGCGTAATTCAACAAGAATAACGAAACTATTTAATTCCCGCAATAACCGATCGATCGATGTGTTGCAACATTTTAACATTAAAAAAAAAGACTTATGAAGGGGGAAGAAAAGAAACTTTAGACAAAACCTTCTGCTCTGCTCCCATTTTTTCCTTCACCCGTCGATTAATTATTTACATTCTCGATTAGCGATGTAAGAGTCCATTTAATCAGCCCTTGCAATAAGGTAACGATTTCAAAAATTCATCTAAGAGGATGGAATTCGTTTTTGCAGCCTCTTCCAATTCAAAAATCGAACTTTATATTCCTTTCATGACTTATGATATCGTAGGTCATCATACATACCCTACAACACTTCGCTTAGCTCAGCTAATCATATAAGTAATTTTCAAAATAGACCATTATATAGAAAGTGGTCGAAAAATAGGCCGAACCGAATGATTTTCAATAGCGTTTGCCCTTGGGCCGAAACACTTTAAATATCTAAAAAATTGCGATCGGCAGGTTCAACACAACAATACCAGACGAACAAATGGACAGACAACTTAAAAGCACTTTCTGAATCCATCGCTACAATGAAAGATGCGCCTACCTCAACTATTCTATGCATCCACACAGCTTGTAGTGTATAATGTGGTAAATAAAATTTTTTTCTGATTATTTTTTTATTTATCAATAACGGCATTAATGCCCTTACATTGCGCTGCTTTACGAAGCTGATCATCGGATTATTGATATGTGGTTGAGGTAAAAGGTTACCCATCAAGTTTTACATTGTGAGCTAAGTGAAATTCTTAGAAAAAAAAAATGTATGTGAAGTAAATTTACTTAAATGAACTAAATAAATATTCGATGCTATTAGTTGTCGTTTTTAATTTATTAGCCCTTTTGTTTTGATTCATAAAATTACCTATGACTTCACGATAATAGTACGAAGGGAAAGCGAAACTCTGTCATAGTTAGCAATTTCGGCGTCTTATGCACTCACAAAAGACATTATCTTCGCATTTTCTATTTACAGAGAAGTTTCCTTAATTAATTTTATACTTAGTGCTTAGCTTGACCAGTAAAACGAATTCGCTTTAGATCAATAGAACAAATTAATGAAAGATTCTTTACCTGTAACTGAGTAAAGCGAAAAAAAAAAAACTTTTCTTTTATTCATAAACTTTCTTCTCCCTTTAAGCACATGAATGTTTAATACAATCATAAAATGGGATGGGGCGTAAGATGCATTTTGGCTATTTCCGTATTCCGTATTCTCTAAATGAGATAAGACTTATTGCTGAATACTTTTGGCTGGCGTTCATTCGTTCTTGTTTGAAAAGCACTCAAACAACCTTTAATGTAATAAACTTGTAATAGCTTTTACTTTCACTTAAAACAAGCGCTTTCGGTACAAATAAGAACAGAAACTTACGTTTAGAGAATTATTTATGTAAAAGTATTCAAGAGTAAAAGTATATATATATTGGTTTCATCTAACTATTTAACTTAATTTGAAAATTCTAATATGTCCATAATTTTTTTTGTCCTTCAAAAAGTTGATCTTTGATTCGTAAAAGATATTTTAATGAAATATTTTAATTTAATCGATTCTTTGTAATATATTGATACATATCGGACACTAACGGCTACACTTTTTTCATATTCAAAAACCAAATTTACATATTTCTGTACTCTGCTGGTTGTTACATTTCTCTCCGCCGAAAGAATGAATGATTGTGTATTAAATGAAAAATTCAACAAGAAAATACGATTATAATCAAGCGTTCTACTGATGCTCGATATAGGAATATGAGGATTTTTAGTCATCAAAAGCGCATCACCTTAAAAAATTTGAAAGTCTTCGTTCAATGAGACGTTCAATGTGACCTTAACTATCCTACACTTTCAACTTAGGCGACAGCGTACATACAAATTGAGATATTGCGTAAATTGTCAAGTTGGAAAATTTTTTTATTACAAATCACGACGATTTTCGAATTACAGAACATGTGATAGAAAATACCAGTAACGACATTATAGTCGGGCAACGCCGTCTATTATATGCCCTATCCTACTTCGCCTAATACAATTATCCGCTCGTTTGCACACTATTATTATACAAAGCCATAATTCCCGTGAAAGCCCGCATATTGGAAGGTTAGATTTTCTGTCCATAGAAGAGTTTGCGTTTCGTGATAGCTGATTGTGAATTAGTCGGTATTATAATTAAAGTTGCGTCTATCTTAAGCGCTTCTGGGTGTTGCATATGGCCGCATTTAACTTAATATACCCTGTTATGTATAGTATAAAAAAGTCTTACATTTTTACACCTTATACCACTTGTGGTGGAAACGTATATTGAGTCCGTGCGGATGTATACACAAAACCTACAAAGACATTCTTCTTTTCTTCTTCAGAAAGTACTGCGTACATTGTCTGTCCGTCTTGTATTGTTGTGTTCAACCTGCAGATCACAATTTCTGGGATATTTTGATGAGATTTGAAAGAATGCTATTGATAATGTTTTGCTTCGAATCGCTTTCCCAGCTGTTTCATACGTAACGATATGTTTTAGAAACTCATTATTATAAGAATAACTGTATTAAGCGAACTGTTGTAGGATAGGGTAATGGTGGCGAGCTATGGCCCACTGTTATTTAAAATTAACGAAAATAGGGCGGCAGTCTATTTCTACTTTGCATCAAAGAATATCATAAGAGCCTACCCTATCGCCTGAGTGAGTGAAGGCAAAGAATCTTGACTAGCAGCTCAATAGTCGTGGATTCGAATTTTAAGTGCGATAGAGCTTTTAACAAAGCCAATAGCCTTAGAATGTTAGTACTTTAAGAATTTCTCGGGCATTTCTCTAATTATATCTCTGGCTGTACTAATTAATATCAATAATAATAATAACATAACATACCGCTAATATATTTCCTATTAGAATTTCGAATTTTCCTTTTAAGAAATAAAATGCATTTCGGTCTTCAGATCTTCAGTAAAGAAAGCAATTCAGCGGAATTACCTTAATTCTTTGGTCACATTAACGCAGATACGAAAGGCTGTCTCAGAATGACATATGATTAATTAAAATTAATGAGAATCACGTCACATATGCATGTATGTATTCATGTGTTAAGAAGCTCAACTAAGATGACATTAACAAGGTGAAATTGACAAAGTGTCTCACCTAACGAAGATGTTTCGATCAATAATGACTTTTGCATACAGTCAGTTATCTATAATGTTGTAAATCTTATTGATGTGTCAGTATATCTGCTAAGCTATCTCTCTTCTTTACTCTTGCGACTATTTCATAAGGAAAATGCGCTATGTATATATATATATATATATATATATATATGTAAAAATTATATATATCAATTGAAGTCACCATAGATTTATTTACCATCATATCTATAGATAAGAACTGGAAGACTAATAGCTGGAATTGAAGGGACAATGACAAAAATGTTCTCGCAAATGTTTAACGAAATCATTTTGACGATACTTGCAGTGGGTTTAAAAGATATTCAGTTATAGGGTATTAAAGAAATAGGTTATCGCTTAAACCTGTTGGGCATTAAAACCCCTTTTCTATTATTTCCTATGACATTAAGACGGAATTGATGTTTCATTGCAATAGCACGTTGCTGATTTGCACCCTGAAAACATGATCTAGAAATTTGGAAAAACTCAAACTAGAACATCCTCAATATGAAATGAGAATGAAAAATGACGAGACTTTCAAACCTTGTAATTTATTACTTATTGTCTATAGCGATAGTCGTGCGTGTGGTCGAGAATGGCAACATTTGCTGACACTTCATCCAGCAGGCATCCTACCGTTATACATAATTATAATAACATTTATTGTAAACATCGGCATCGGATAAATGCTGTTCTCTCTGTTATGAGCAAAGAACGTCTATTCATGTTATTATGAATCAGCAAAAATTTCTATAAAAATCCTTGATATACATACTACAATGAAAGTACTGAATTTTGATATTTATGCACGACGCTACAGCCGGAAGGTATACTTAATCTGTTTGTTAGTTGTGTAACATGCAGTAATATAGTCATTAGCAACCGTAAGCAGCAATATATGAATAATGTTGATATCCGTTGTCTATCTTTCGTTTGTGTTTTTCAAAACACTTACGATCGCAGAAATTGAGACGAAACTTGATGCGAAATTTTTCACACGTTTTTAAACGACACGCCTTTAATAAAATACTTTACATATTTTTTGCATTCATTTGCTAGTGTTAGTGAGGATCAAAGATTCGTTTTTACGCGAAAATACATTTTTGATTTATTCTAGGATTTGGGTTGTGTATGTGCTGTGAAAAGTTAGATACACACCTTTATATGTACGT